TACACTGAAGGAACCCCTTGTGTGGATTTTATGACAATTCCATGGGAAATTTTGCCTGAAATCATCAAAATACCGAATATCGTGGACCCACAGGGTGAGAAAAAAAAACTGCAACAAAGTCAAACGCCATAATTTTTACATTTTTTTTATTTTTTTTTTTAAATGTCGGATATAGCATCAAATTTTAAAATAAGTTTAGATTTGTTCGAATCGGTCACCTTTGGCACGAATTATGGCCTTCAAACGACTAATGAAACCGTCACACGCTGCCCGAATGTTGCTCTACGGTATTTTGGCCCATTCCCGACGAAGCGCTTGCATGAGGTGATCGACACTTTGGTATTTTTTAGTGCCAACCTTGCTTTCCAAAATACTCCAGACACAATAGTCCAATATCCGGAGATTTTCCTGGTATCCGGAGATTTTCGTGGGCATAGTACGCTGGAAATGCAGCGAGGAACCTCATTTTGTAACCATTCGTGTTGTCCTGTTGGAATGTCCAAGGTCTGCGGCCAAGATGTTTGCGTGTCCAAGGCTTTAATACACCCTCCAAAATATTTTCGTCATAATATTAGGCATTTATTCTGATGCCACGGTCAACCAATACGAGCGGAGAGCGACCATCGGCTGTTATGGCTGCCCACACCATCACCATGGCCGGCGATTGAGTTCATTTTCAGCTGATCTCTTTGGCAAGTAAACACGATAATTTTATTTGTTTACAAACTGCTGGAAAAATTTAAAATGTTTTTCTTGAGAAATAAATAAATTTTTATAAGTTGACCTTTTTGACGCCAATCGTAGGTTGTTATGATATGCATCTTTCAACAATTTTTACAAATTTGCATAATTATACCCTCAGTCATATGGCTAGAGAGGGTATATATCATTTGATACGGTCAAAACGTGCGTAGTCGAAATAATCGGTCCACTGCTTTTGGTACCTCCCCCACAAAAGGTCTGAATTTTCAAAAAAAAAATATTTTCTGCACAGAAAGAGAAAGGATAATCCAATTTTGCTCCAACTTTGCAAATCCAAATATTTGCATCAGTGTTAGGTTAGGTGCGAAAATGGACAGCATCGGCCTACTCCATCAAGTACCTCTCCTACAAAGGGTCAAAATTTTGAAAAATTATAACGCTTATAAAATGTGATGTAAGAGTCTGATTGCCTTCAAATTTCACACATCCCAATATTTTTATTAACCCAAGCTCTGGCATGAAGATGAGATATATCGGTCTACTGCTTATGGTATCTCCCCCACAAAGGGTTAAAATTTTGAATATTAATGAAGCTCGTAAAACACGAAATTAACATCCGATTCCATTCAGACTTGACATATCTTAATATTTCAATAATTACAAGATATGTTATAAAGATGGTAGGAATCTGACCATTCTTTCGGGTACCTCCCCCACAAAGGGTCGATGTTTTCAATAACCAAAATGATCATAAAATTCGAAATAAGCTTCTGATTCTCTTCAAATTACACTCATCTCAATATTTTTATTAACTCAAGGTCTGGTGTGAAAATGGGATATATGGGCCACTTCTTCTGGTACCACCCCACAAAGGGTAAAAATTTTGGAGTACCCATGAAGCTCATAAAAATAACATCCGATTCCATTCAGAATTGGTACAGCTCAATATTTCCATCATCACAAGTTCTGTTATAAAGATGGTACCAATCGGACTATTTCTTCTGGTACCTCCGCACACAGCATTCAATATATTTGAAGAACAAAACGCTCAAAGAAAGGGAGATAAGCATCCAACTCTCTTTAAAATTCCCACACACAAACATTTTTGTTAACACAAGATCTGTTGTAAAGATGATATATATCTGCGAATTCCTTCTGGTACCTCACTCAGAAAGGATCACAATTTCCAATATCTGTCAAAACATGCCAAGTCAGCAATTCTTTACAACTTGCTATATCTAAATATATCTCTCTCAACCAGAAACCTGAGATTATACGAAATGGACAATATTGGTCTCTTCCTATGGAACGTCCCGCATAAAAGGTCAACAATTTAAATAATCATAATAAAAGTCAAAATATATTTAAGCAATCGAACATTGGCTGAGGGTATACATCAGTCGGCAAAACCGACGGATACTTTTTAACTTGTTTTTCATTAAAAATGTTCAATTTCAAAATTGGTCGATGCGATTCTTCTACCATGGGAGGAACAAAATATTTTTGCTGTTAAGATTTGGGCCATAGTTATATTGCCGGATCAGCTGTTATCTTACAAATGTTTTGCAAGATGCTGTTTGTTTACGTTTTGCAATTTTTACTCTCCAGAGAGTAGAAATCGATTTTTTTTCTCAGTAACTTCTTACTGCGTAAATGTTTTCTGCGAAAGTAAAAAAAAAACAAGTTAAAAAACAATAAGTTCGGCCGGGCCGAACTTTGAATACCCTCCAGCATTTGGAACAAATTTGTAAATTTTCAAAAAATAAAATCCGCTAAAAGTTCTGTAAAAATCTTAAAAATATCGAATACATCCGTTATAATGGGGCCTATACGAAGACGTGGAACTGAATAGAAACAATTTTGTCATAAGCCATTACAATATTGAAATACGAAACTTGAAAAAAATCCGTGAAAAATGTAGCTAAAATCATCAAAATACAGAATAGAGGGATGTGCTGATATATGGGGCCTGGACCAGCATAGACAATGGACTGTAGTTCCCATGACGAACTACAAATACGACAACTCAAACAATTTCGGTGAGTATTGTACCTAAAATCATCAAAATACCGAATATGGGGAGGTACTGATATATGGGCCTATACGAAGACCTGGACCAGCATAGACAATTTTCTGTCATAGGCTGCAGTATCCATTTCGAACTTCAAATACCAAAATTGAAAATATCCCGGTGTATAATGTCGCTAAAATCACCAAAATACCGAATATCGGGAGGTTCCGTTATATGGGGGCTATAAGAAGACGTGGAACTGCACGGACAATCTCCTGTCATAGGCTGTAGTATCCATTTCGAACTTCAAATACCAAATTTGAAACAATCCCGGTGAATAATGTCGCTAAAATCATCAAAATACCGAATATCGGGAGGTACCGTTTTATAGGGGCTATACGAAGATGTGGACCTGCAAGGACAATCTCCTGTCATAGGCTCTAGTATCCATTGCGAACTTCAAATGCCAAATTTGAAACAATTCCGGTGAATAATGTCGCTAAAATCATCAAAATACCGAATATCGGGAGGTTCCGTTATATGGGGGCTATACCAAATGTGGACCTACATGACCCATATTCAATACCAAAAGTCCTCCGGACATAATATACATTTGAGTAACATTTTATCAACTTACTTCATTTCGTTCGGAAACTAGAGTGATTTCCACAGACGCGCGGACATCGCTAAATCGACATAGAATTTTATGCTGATCAAGAATATATATACTTTGTGGAGTCTAAAAATTATATTTCGAGGTGTTACAAACGGAATGACAAACTTAATATACCCTCCATACTATGGTGGAGGGCATAATAGCTAGTTCAAGAGTATAATAGTTAGTATAGGGTAACTAGGGTATAATAGCTAATTGAGCTATTTTTTCCTTTAAAATCCAGCAAAAAATTGTCCGTTTGTGGAACACCATTGCTCATGTCTATGGGAGATAGTGGGTATTTGTTGTGGACGATGGCTTGGTGCATGGAAACGATTGTGAGCGACAAAAAAAAAATATGAAAGAACGCTGTTTACTATATTCCACCCCAAACGTAAAGCTACTTAAAAGCTTTTAGATCGTTTATAACGACCGTAATGTCAAAAGCTTTTTGCCACACACACACACAAAATGCTTGGCGAAAACTCCATTGACTTGAAGAGAAGCCGTAAAGTATTTCTGTCAACAAATATTCAAAACAATCACGCAATCACGATTCCCAACAAGTTCGAGATAACACAAAAGCAGAACAATGATCGACAACCTCGCTTTTCATTTGTTGCCAGCCATCAGAATGAAGTGTATGTTGAGAACAAAAAAGTGGGGAATCTGAAAAAGGTAGGTAAGTGAAATGGCAGGCCAGCCACACGAGGGAAGTACAATTCTGCATGGAGTTGATTTGCTTAACTGCCTGAAGATGCAATGCCTTACTGTTTAGCAAAAAAAAAAAAACAACAACCCCAGCCGTAAGCATTCGCAGTATTCGAACCAACAACAATAACGAGTTTTATGCCAATGGGACCCGTATGACGGCACTTAAACTCGTATGGAACGCCTTGGGAGACCGGCCTACGTCACTTCGCCTACATCAGCCGTATAAAGAAAGATCCATTAGCCAGTCAAGCTGGTTGGCCTTTGATAACCCAACGATGTGATACAGAAAAAAAAAGAAAACAACAATAACAAACCCAGCCAGACATTCAGAAATCGCTTTAAAAGCTTTTCTCTCCGATAGCCGGCAGAGTGAGGCACGAAACACACGAGCTAAGTTTTGGTCGAACCTACGAACACCGCCGCCGAGTACTCAAGCAAAGCAACCAGAGCCGAGATGAGTTCGATAGAGTCTAGCAAGAGCTGCCTCGGCGGAGATAGGCCCGCATTTAGTCGTTTGTTGTTGTCGATAGGAGAAGGTTGTGTGCGGAGAGTTCAGTTCCTCCAGGTTCTTCATAAAGCGCGTTCGATCGTTTGTTTAACCACTGACATACGCTGTTTATATTTACTGTGTTATCATTGTGTTGTTGTTGTTGCTGCTGCTGCCTTTGTTCCCCGCACTTCATTGTTACGCTGCTTGAGCGGATTTGTTTGTGTGTGTGTGTATCTGTGTGTGGTTTGAATGATCTGAGCCTCTACGTAGTATTTTATTGTTGGCCAGACGAGAATAAAACCAACGCTCACACACATTGCCATCTAGAGACTGCCCTTTCTCTGCAAGGCCTATACATTCCTCCAGACCACCAGAGTCAGTTAGTCACTCAGTTAGTATCCAAAAACACCTGCAATTCAATGAAAATTATGGCTAATTGCCCTGCAAATCTCTGGGACGATTACAAGACCCGTAATATTTTGAGTATAAGCGATCGGGTGCAGGTCATACGCATGTATGACTCATATCTCACGAAGCCGACATACCAAAGCATAGCCTCAAAGTTCGACTGCAGTGCCAAACAAATAAAGAACATCATTGCCAATCGCGAATCAATACTCAAACAATTCGAAGAGGCCTGTCGCACCCAAAATGGCGCTCACCTACGAACCGATGTGGTTCAGAAACGACAAGAAAAAATTGAATTTCTCGGCAAAGTCATGTACGAGTACATTCAGCGGGTCATGTTTCATGGCCAGCGGATCGATGATGATATTGTGCGTCAGAAGGCCTTACAGATCAAAGAGTGCATAGCCATTGAGAATTTCCAACCCAATGGCACATGGCTGGAAGATTTCAAAATGACCTATGGCATACCGGCCTTCGATAGGGAGACATTGCGCAACAACATTCCAATAACCGGTGTTAAACGTCCTCACTTGAATGCCATCGATATGATCCAGTATGTCAGTCGTTTGGAACAGGAGCAAAGGCTGAATACGAAAAAGAGAAAATTACCCATGTATGGCAGCAACAACAGCCCCTCGAATATGTTGGAACCCACAATTGTTTATGAGGCCATCGACGATGGCTGTAGTGATGATAACAACGATGGCGGCGACGATGTTCAAGAAGTGCAAGTTATAGCGGGCCAAGAACAATATCAACTTGAAATACCCAAAAATTCGAATCCAGCAAAACGGCCACGGCCCTCATCAAATGTCAACAATACCAACAATTCAGATGAACCGTTTCCTGACATTGTATCGGTGGGGGTAGCTTTGAAGCACTTAAAAGCCCTCGAGGAGTATGCCATGTTAAATGATAACTTCCGGGCAATTGGCTTGCTAACGCAATTGGAAGAGATTTTCAAGAAACAGGGGAAAAGTTGAATGGTACCTATTTGGAATTTAACTGCACAAGGCGAATATTTATAGACTTATTTCAGACGAGATATGTTCCGATTTTTAAAATTTAAGTCAATGTATGACATAGAATTAAGTTGTTACTCACTCGGCGCCGCCAAAAAGATAACATTCCAAAAATTTTTTAAAAAACTCACATTGTTTTAAATGTGTGCGCTCCATGAGGGCGTGAAAAAGAATCATTCCATTTTACATATGTTAAGTGTTAAGTTTTCTTACTATAGGTATAAGTCGAATAAATTTCCAAAAACGAATGTAATACCTTGGTATATAATTTACCTCATTTATGATATTTTAAAGATTTGTTTTCTAAAAAGAAAATAAAAACAATCATTTTTAAATCTCTATATTATTAATAAATGTAAACAAGTAACTGGATTTTTGTTCGTTTTTTTATACCCTCCGCCATACATAGTATGGAGTTCGACATCCGATTGTAACTCTCCGTATTAATCAGCGCAAAAAATCTAAGACGATTTAATCCTGTCTGTCCGTCAGGCTGTTGTAATCTGCTAGAATCAAAACGAATGAAGATAGGAGGCTACAATTTTGCACAAATCAGTCTTTTGTCTGCATGCATGTCAAGTCCGAAGATGGTCTATATCGATCCACGATATCGTAGAGGCCCCATATAACGGTCCGATATGCGGTATTAATGGAATTGTATGATATTCTACACAAGGAGTTCTCTGTGAGCACTTTACCGCCTGGAAGAAAATTGTCTATATACAGGGTGAGATGAAAAATCTGCAACCAACTTCAGACTGCTTTCATTTCCAAGCCACTCGTTCGACAGCTGTTAAAATTATTCCAGTGACATTATATTGTTCTCAAGCGTACAAAAGCATTTTCGTGAGAGTTTTCTCGACAAAAAGAAGTCATTCGTGATGGAATTCAAGCGTGGTAGTGTGATTTCTTTATCTTTGGCTGGAAAACCACAAGTGGCTATGGTTAGAGAACTCCAGCATTTAAATGTGAATTAATCTTTTGTGTCTCGTATCATCGCTCGTTATCGTCATACCGGTAGCATAGCCCGACGTCAAGGAAGTGGACGGAAGAAAACAGCAACATCAGCGCAAATGGTTAGAAAAGTAAGAAGTGGCTTGATCGAAACCCGCGTCGCAGTGGCCGAGAAATGGCTCGTGAGCTGAACATATCGCAATATTCCATTCCATGCAATAAATAAAAAAATGATCAATAAAATTTAAAAAGAAAATGTAAAAATTGTGGCGTTTGACTTTGTTGCAGTTTTTAATCTCACTCTGCATATGGGCGTACAACTGTCAAGAAATTTACATGTATATCCAACCAAAGATTTCGTAATTTTCACACCATTTATAACCATTTTAAAGGAAAGTATAATAATAATTTTAGCTTGTCAAACATATTTGTAAATGTGTGTGTGTGTTCTTTTCAACTATTAGAAAATTGGATATAAAATATTAAAATTCGGTTGTAAAAAAAATGCTTATCACAACGTATGCATGAACAAAATTTGTCATTTTTGTGGCGAAATAAATCTTTTCCGGTATATAGAACCTGATTTTGATAATAAATCATGGAATAAATCTTCACCTTTCATTTAGTTTTCGCGTTTTTTGTTTAATTTAAACTCATTAACAATCATTCACTCATTGGCAACTCATTAGTCTTATTAGTACTAGTCCCGCGGTTCATTTAATGAATGTGTCCAGCTGATTGCGTTTTCCTCATATCTCTTTCGTACAGTGATACTCGGCATTATGCATTACACTAATTCGTAAACAACAGAGGTATTCGGGGATTTTGCTTTCTGTTAATTTTTTATCGTGCATTCTATTTTGTCTTCTTATTTCATTCGTTGGGAACGTTTTTTTATTTTAGTTCTATCGATGAACTAAAGTACCAGTGAACCCGTCACTTGAAGGGGGAGTTGTGGATTATTCGGTTAAATAGTCAAATTACTATAAGTGAGAAATTGCTATTGCAGAAGATTTAACTAAGAATTTTGGAAAATAACGAAAATAATCGAGTAAACAATAGAAAAATTAACACCAAAAACACCAAGTTTCTTTATTAAGAAGCAAAAAATAAACAAGGAAAATAGCAACGGCAGTCGTAAACTATACAAAAAAAAGAGAACGAAAGCCACCTGAGACACATTCAGTCTTTTGTTGTTGCCATTGGAATGAGGTTGTAAGTGACAACCTGGTGCCGGGTTTTTTTATTTTGACACATTGCTCATGAATGAACTGTAAGTGCTTTACGTTCTTGTCATCTAAAGCAATTACAGAGAAAATATAGGACAACTTGGAATCTTCTATTGAACGTTGTGTTGCTGGGAACCATATCATAACTTCCAACTTGAATATTAAGATCCCCCACAAAAAAAGAGGAAACATGAATGAAGTTTTGAGACCATTTTGCAGCTGTCGCAAATGTGTCGACCTAAATGTCAAACAACGTATTGCCATCATACAGGAATACGAATCATCTCGTTCCAAGAAGCCAAGTATAAAAAGTTTGGCTTCCAAATTTGATTGTTGTTTTTCGGAAATTAAAAAAATCCTCCTTAATCGTGCTTCCATACTTGCCGCCTATAAGAAACTGGGCGGTAACCAACGTTCGCAAATACAGCGAAGAGACCTAGCCGATACTCGTGCCTTAGAACGTCGAGAAAAAATCAACTTTTTGGGCAAAGCAATGTATGAATATATACAGCGTGTCTTGTATGCCAACTATAATATTGATGATGAAAAAGTCATGCAAAAGGCTTGGGAATTTAAGCATCAAATTGATGTGGATAGTTTTGAACCCGATCAACGTTGGCTATTGAATTTTAAGCGCATATATGGTATATGGTCATTTGAGATGGGTGCATTGCGTAAATGTATACGGTTAAATGGGCCCAAGGAACCACATTTGAGCGCCATCAATATAGTTGAATATGTTCGCAGAAGAATGAAGCTCAGCCGAAGTAATGGTGGTAGTGGTGGTGGTGCAGCGACGTCCAGCAGAAACAATACATACGATATTGTTGAAGAACATATCCTTCCCGACAGCGAAATCCGTGTGCCAAATAATAATCAAAATCAATATTATCCCACTCATAATGATAGTCTCGATTTACTAGAACCCATAGATCGCAGCTTTTCCGAACCAACTATAGTCTATGAAAATGCCGAAGATGATGAGCCGGTTTCAAATGGCACGCAATGCAATATCACAACCGAAGACAATTTTGAAGCAAGTATACCACAAACTGCGCTATGCAATACGAAACGTACATCAAAATTAGCAAGCATTGAATCGGTCGAAGAAGCTTTAGAACATTTAAAACTTCTTGAAGAATTTGCCATGTTGCAGGATAATTTCCGGGCTATTGGCCTGCTAACACAGCTGGAACAGTGCTTTAGTAAACAGCCGAAAACAACATGAATAAAAGGAATCTCATAGGCATAAAGATCCATCCAAGAAAGCGGATCTTTGTAAATAGCAATAAAACTGGTTGGCAGCTGGCTGCATCTGATGTTTGAACACGTCAATTAGGGTAAAAGATTTCACGGCCCACAGCCAATGAAATTGGAGGAGGCAGCAATGGCTGTACATGCTAGATATATTACAATGTAGACCATAGTCTGATATTTTTTTAAGTCTTCGAATTGATCAACTACTTTATTGTTTATTTCCCCTAGAAATAGAAATTATCCTAAATACGAACATGATTTGTAAATACTCTTTACAAAATAGTATTTGTAATTGTTAATGTAGATATTGAATTAATAAATATGAAAATGAAGACATTCCCATTTAATTAAGGATAAATTATGTCTAACATATTTTCAATACATCGTAGTTTTACATTTTGAAATGGTATTTATCAGCATAATGGTCAATTGCTGTATATTTCCCTTGGATATGGATATACAGGGTGAGATGAAAAAACTGCAACCAACTACAGACTGTTGACATTTCTAAGCCACTCGTCCAACAGCTGTTAAAATTATTCTAGTGGCAGCTCATTATATTGTTTATAAGTGTACAAAAGCATTATGGTGAGAATTTTCCAGAAAAAAAGTTATTCGTGATGGAATTCATGCGTGATAGTGTGATTTCTTTATATTTGGCTGGAAAATCCCAAGTAACTATCGTAAGAGCACACCAGCATTTAAATGTGAATAAATCTTTTGTGACTCGTATCATCGCTCGTTGCCGTGATACTGGTAGCGTAGCCCGACGTCAAGGAAGTGGACGGAAGAAAACAGCAACATCAGCAGAAATGGTTCGAAAAGTAAAGAAGCAACTTGATCGAAACCCGCGTTGTAGTGGCCGAAAAATGGCTTATGAGCTGGGCACATCGCAATTTCCATTTGACAAATTTTGAAAATAGGAGCTCGGGGTAAAGCCATTGAAATTCCAAAAATTTCAAGAACTTACACCGCAACAGAAAGAAAATAGACTCAAAAGAGCTAAAGAGTTGCTTTGCTTGGCCGAATGTGGTGAATTGCGGAATTTGAGAAAACATTCGTTGTCCAGCAGTTTGTAAACAAACAAAATGATCGTGTTTACTTGCCAAAGAGGTCAGCTGAAAATATGCTCCTTCGGTTGGCCGGCCACCAGAACTCGAGCGCCGGCAATGGTGTGGGCCGCCATAACAGTCGATAGTCGCTCTCCGCTCGTATTAATCGACCATGGCATCAGAAAAAATGCCGAATATTATTGCGAAAATATTCTGAAGGGTGTATTAAAGCCTTGGGCACGCAAACATTTTGGCCGCAGACCTTGGACATTCCAACAGGACTCAGCGCCATCGCACTCAGCACGCGCCACCCAAGAATGCTCATTCTTGGGTTGGACATTCCAACAGGACTCAGCGCCATCGCACTCAGCATGCGCCACCCAAGAATGCTCATAAAATGAGGTTCCTCGCTTAATTTCCAGCACACAATGGCAAAAAATCCCCGGATACCAATCCGTTGGACTATTGTGTCTGGAGTAATTTGGAAAGCAAGGTTGGCACTAAAAATACCATAGTGTCGATCACTCAAGCAAGCGCTTCGCCGGGAATGGGCCAAAATACCGCAGAGCAACATTCGGGCAGCGTGTGATGGTTTCATTGACGTTTGAAGGCCATAATTCGTGCCAAAGGTGACCAATTCGAACAGATCTAAACTTATCTTTTGCTTTTATTCAATAAAATTTAAAAAAAATGTAAAAATTATGACATTTGACTTTGTTGCAGATTTTTTATCGCACCCTGTATACCTTAGCTTTGTTTCCTTAAAAACCAAAGGCAATGTGGATGACCTAGAATAACAAGATGTTTTTAAGATCTTGAATAAAACCTGGAGAGTTACTACGTAATGCCAAAACGTAAAAAATCTTGAATTCGGAATTATACTTACATGGGTACAATTTCAAATGTGGAACCTATATAACCCATTTCTACACCAATTATTCTGGATGTTATCCGAATATCACTATCAAATTTCGAAGCTCTAGCTAAATGTTGATTAGTATATATGAAACTAAAGGGGTCCCTTTATATATGATTTTAATCTACAATCGATTACTATCAAGTCTACTTGAAATTTTCCATACTAAACCTAGCCTGGCTATTGCACGGTAAATTTATAAGAATAATTTGCAGCGAATTGGAAAAAGTGCTCAATTTTTCATGCTAAATATTGTGTACACAAATTTCTTTTGTTCAAGGACTTACAATGAAATCGGATACCAAATAATTCGTCCTTTGAAACTTTCCCCAAAAATGAAGTATTAAGGGAGAAGTAACATTTGCTTCATTTTACATTAAAATTTCAATGAACTCAGCCAGTCCTACACTAGTTATAAGGCGTATTAGTAAAAAATCTGTCCCTAAGTAATGCGAAAAGAAGCAACTGACACTTTTTTGGCCCCAAGTAAACGAAAAGGCGACAGTTGCGAATAAATACAAAAACTAACAAACAAAAAAGTTAAACGAACCTCATGCTTGGGTTACTCTGCTAGCGGGAAAAGTAATCCGATATACCTCTTGCCTTGTGAGAAGCTTCTCGCAATTTCTTGTTCTAATTGAAAACATAAAGGGATTAATTTTTAATATATAAATAGGCTCCATCTCAAAGTTAAAGGGAGTACCTTAGGTAGGTAAGATAAAAATGGCGGAGGCACAAATTACATTTTAATTCGGCGCTCCCCTCATGTGATCACTCCTCTCAATGTCTTCCACGGATTAAAAATATCGTGCAAAGCCTCTACTATATTCATTCGGATATGCACCATTTAGTTTAATAAGAATCGAATACTTTTTTCGCATTTTATGCAGGGTAGGAACAAAAAATTTTAACCCCACCACTAGAAGTGGACCGACACATTCTATTTTTACACTAGATCTTGTGTAGGTGAAAATATTGGTATGTGTAAAGTTTAAAATGAATCGGATGATCTTTTCACATTTTATGAGTTACAATTATTGAAAATTTTGACCCCATTGTGGGAGAGGTACCAGAAGGAGTGGACTGATATATTCCTTCTTTACACCAGATCTTGTATTAATAGGAATATTGGGATGTGCGATGCTTGAAAGTATTTGGATGCTTATTTCCATTGCAGCTAAAGAACGATTTGGGCACGTATTGACAAAGGTCTGCGCAAAGTCTGCCCGGCGTTTGATACATACAGGCCCACACAATACGCCGTACAGCGAAAGTAGGCGAATTTTTAAACCTTGAGTTAGAAGCGGATTAGCAGAATCAAACAAAACATCTGAAGCTGTTACTACAACAACACCTACATAAATAAACACCGACAGAGCCATCCGAATCACTACCTGGTGGATAGGCAACCTCCGACCAGGCATGTAAGGAAAGACCTTCATGATCTAGAGATAGAGGTACAAAGGTATAAGAGAGAGCCTCTAGATCAACAAGCCTATCAAGCGGACTCTCTAACGCGGTCTCAGAAGTTATTGAAGGATATAGAGTGAATACTGTATTAGGAGACCATCCCCCTCCCATTGCAGCTGAAGAGCGAGGAGCTTCCCCGACAAGCCCGAGTAGTTTTGGCTCAACTAAGATTCGGATGCTGCAGTCGCCTCAATTCCTATTGGGCCCAAATCGACAGCGATGTGCAGAACATCTGCCCAGCTTGTGGCACAGGACCAGATGACACACTGTCCAGCCAAACGTACCCACCTATCTCCAGTCTCGTTGTGGACCCAACGCGTACAGGTTGCATCCTTTTTGAGACTGGACTTAGAGGCAGAACCCGATTGAGAAGATTCAGATCGAACACGCAGTATGAGCTGCTACAACAACAAAGTAAATAGACTTTATCTCGTATTAAAAAAAAACTTGCCTGGCATGGGAAAAGGTTTAGAAGGGAAAAGTTTTATGTAAAAAGGCAAAGCTTGTTGCCTGAATCTTAGCTGATATTTTATATCCTGGCGATCGCCATCTTTTCCTCTTTATATCAAGAAGTCGCTTTAAAATACAAAAAATACTCTGTGTCCACTCTCTTATAAAAGTATAGAACAGGGGTGCTCAAGAAGAAATATCTCTTTTCAGTCAAATTTCTCTTTGCTTATTAAAATCAAGAACAAAACAGTGTTAAGTCATTATTTATACAAATATTTTTTATCCATTTGCTTTATAAATTATTTTGCAAACATTCATGTTTAAAAACAATTAAATAGAACCGTAAAATATAAAGAAAAACAGAATTTTAATTTTCTCTTAAATTATCTCTTTTTTCGGTTCTTGTTCTAGAACACGGTTTTGAGCACCGCTGGTATAGAAATAGAAATTTGAAAATCAGTTTCCAAATTTTTTACATCAAATATACCTACCTTGAAATACATACGAAACGAATATGAGTCATCTTTAAACTCAATAGCAGAACGTAGAAATTGAAATACCAAAAACATTTTAAAGCATACTTTCCATACGACAAAGAGCAAAACTAGATACATACACAATTTTTCAATTGATAACAAAAACAAAAAATGAATGGTGTCGAGAGAATGAGAGACGATCTTTGCACTTAGCACAAAAATGAGCATGATTTAGCCAGCAAAGAGAGAGAAGACATGTTGTGGAATTTTGTATAAAAATTGGTTGTGAAAATTGAATTGTGTAAAACAGAATTTTCTGGCGTGATCTGTGGCCTCAGTTGCATTTTAACTACACAACTTGACAGAGTCGGAATAAAAGGTTGCTGCTGTTGCTGATTTTGAATAATTTTGAATAGATAATTTGTATAAATCCAACGGAAGTAAAACGTGTGTTGTTGTCATCGGCATTTGCCCACTTTTTTGGCTCGTCTTGGTTTTGAATGGTACCACTTGTGCTGATTGCGTTGTGACGTACCAGCCAGCCAGTGCAACGATCATTTGGGATTCCAATACACACACACACACACACACACACTTTACCCCTTTTTTAACATTACCATTGATAAATATCAAAGTCACAACAAATTTGATAAAATACAAAACGAAACGGAATAAAGAAAAGCCATAAACACTTGCCGGTTGTGATTGATTTGTTTGAATGGAAAAGCGGATGTTCTATTTGTTATAATTGTTATTAACATTATTGTGCCTTCTTGGCTTTACGGAGAGAAAAACAATAACGAAACAGCTGACAGAGCACTTGGTGGCAATAGGCATGGTACAATCTGATCTGCCTCACAAATAAAGTTCTGCCTGGCCACAGCCAGCCATACAACAATTATTTTTTTAAGGTAATTTTCTTAATAAACTGGTTTACTTAAATCGACCCCCCATTCCAGCCCACTTGCAATGTTTATTAACAAAACTGGTTTTCTTGGTTTTTTTTTATTTCAGACGGGTTTTGTTGTTGTTATTGCTTATATGGTTTAACTGCGTCGACAGTGGGCATGGACAAGAGTCAACGCACATAACCTAACGTGCTCGATCGCACTGCATTGTGGGTACTGGGTTAAGCAGCGGCGCTCAGTAATCTTGGCGTCGATTCAAAATTTGATTCCAGCAAGCAGCCCGCTCTCCAGTTGCTGTCAATGGCACATTTTGGAATCGGAAACTGGTTTTGAATTTTCGAAAACAAGTTAACCCGGTTTTTGCATATCCAACCCGTATCTCACAGCTCTGTTTTAGTTAGACTTGTTTCAAATATCAACTTTTATTTGATGATAGTGGCTGTTGTTTATTTTTTTGCCATCAGCACGTCTTAACCACATCGGCCAGCAGCAACAGCAGACTGTTAAGTCAGTCCGTACGTTCATCTAATATGGCTCAGGTGAGTGAGTTTGTTATTTTGTTATAAACTTATTTAATAATTCCAATATTTTGATTTTGTGTGTTGAGTTATAGTTGTTTTACGTATTTGACAATGCCAAAAACAAAAAAAGAAAAGATGAAAGCGTATGCGCGGCAAGCAAGAAGTTGGATAATTTGAATATCTTCATTAACGGTACTTTCTTAAAAAGTGATATGAAAACTTACGCACGTCAGGAATCTTAATTGGGTCAACACAGTTTTAGAATCTGTTAGATATTTCTAAGATATTTTCATGATGACAGATTGATGTATTCTTAGGATAAAGTCAATTTGAAGGCCATCTTGCGGATCAGTTTGGAAATTTTACCATTTTGAGATTTAGAAATGGATTTAGGTAAAATTTTCGCACAGTTTGAAGTAGGTGATTACAACGATAACCCAAAGAAGTCCACCTTCAATGACTTCTCTTTTTATGACCTCTACAATACGAAGAAGATAACCTCCTTTGTATTTCGTTTAAACACACTATGTTCAAGAATGAATTTATAATATTTAAGATGAAATTGACATTTGACACATATATTTGGAGTTCTCCAAATGTCTTTGGTATTGGGAATAGGCTTCATCGGTCCATCCTGAACGTCGGGATTTTGGAGATTTTTGACACAACTATCAACCAAATTATATGTAATTTAGTGTTATTGTTAAATACGTTTTTCCCTGGTAAAATGTTGTTCATATCTCTCTTGTACGGCTCACTCGTGACCGAAGGCAGCACGAATAATAAGGGTGATTTTCTAAGAGCTATAGAAATGTCTTTCAAACAACAAAAGCGCATAAAATTTCGAAAAATCCGAATTGATTTTATTCTCAATATAAGTTAATGTTTGAAGATTATTTCATGAAATTTTGTCCGCCCTGCGATTCAAATGGTTTTTCCGCTTAGTTCTATTTTGGCATATTCTTTCTTCAATGTTGTCTCCCAATGCGTCAATTGAAGCGGGCACGTGTGCATAGAATTGAGCTTTAAGCTAGTACCACAAAAAATAGACAATAAGCGTTAAATCGCATGGTCTAGGCGCCTAATTGACCGGTCCAGAATGGGAAATGAAATGTTCACCGAATTTGCCTCTCAATAAATTCATTGTTACGATTGCTATGTAGCATGTGACTGACCTGTTGAAACCAAAAACTTTTTTTGGCTGATCTTCAGTCCAATATCCACAATTTTACTTATGAACCTACCCGTTAAGCTGAAAATGAGCCTCGTCGCTGAACACAATTAAGTGCACGAACTTTCTTTATAAACGTCCTTAACAGAGTAGGCATTTTGATCATAAAATTCACTGAGCTTGCCGCATACTTCCACGCGAGGAATATCACGCCACGAAATCAACGGCCACGCTCTTTACCACATGGTCTGCGAAGATGAAAACACAGCTGAATGTGCAGGTGGAGGGGAATTCAATACCGACCAAAAACTACCCCAAGATTCTAGTGGTCACATTAGACAGCATGTGCAAGCCGTCCGCGCAGACCACAGCCATCTGTGACAAGATGAAAAGTAGGAACAAGGCCCTCAAGAGGCTAGACGGCAGTACTTGGTTAGCGAACAAAAAAATCCTGTTAACTTCTTATAATGCGATAGGTCGGCCTGTGGTCAGCTATTCGGCTCCAGTGAGATCTGCGAATACTGCGAATACATGTACTACTAGTACATGAGGAGGCTAAAGTCCTTCCCTTACGTCAGCATAATCATATGATTTCGGGTGTCCCAAACATCATATGGTGGCTACAACTTCCACACCCCGGAGTGTCACGAACGATTTCACGATCTAGAGAGAGAGGTCCAACGCTATAAGAGAGAATCCATAGAAGCATATCAGGCAAGTCTGAGTGACATTCATACCGATGCAGTCGTATATGCTATCAGCTGATACAGGATGAATGCCCCCCTCCATTACAGATGAAGAGCGCCAGCTACCTAGACAAACCATGGTAGTTTTGCGGCAATTACGTTCAGGATGGTATAGTCGTCTCAATTCGTTTTGGGCACGAATTGACGAAGATGTGCGTGACGTATGCCCGGTGTGTGATATAGGCCCGCACGAATGCTGCACCTCTTTAATTGTACATTCAAACCTACCCAACTCACTCCAGAAGATCTCTGGCTACAGCCCGTTAAAGTAGCCGAATTTTTAGACGTGGAGCTTCAACCAGATTAGCAGAATGTAAACAATCAAATATACTACTGCTAAAATAACAAAAGTGCGTGAGCTGTTTGCCTTAAATGCTCGTGCGGGGCATCTAAGGCCAACTGGCCCATAATCTCGTAAAGGAAGAACAAGCTCCTTTTTATCACTTAGCATGTCTGAGCTAAGAGGTAGGTATACTGACTGGCCACTGCAATATCAGATATAGCAGTGTACTTGACTACTGTAGATCATATTATTATGAAGAATATGTAAAGACGATTGAACACCTACTATTCAGATGTCCTATGAAACAAAAAGATACATATGTTATTTGGCAGGTGAGAGAAAGAAACTCTAACGTTCTTCTCAGACAAAGATCCCATTACATGTGCATGTTTACCTAAAGCATTCTTTGGCCAAGGAGACCATTCTCAATACTATACTTCTCTCGATAAAGTCTTCCTTCTTTTTTCGTTTATATATCTCTACCATCACGAATTTCTTTCTAATCCACTGGGCAAAAGATCTCCGAGTGAAGCAGTTGTCGACTTCCGTGTGGCTGCGCATCCCTAATCCAAACCAAAAAAAAAAATGTCCCGTGATGTAACAAATATCGACAAAGCTGTCTTGACTTGGTGAAACCATGTCTGTTAAATGGAGACAAACGTTTTTTTGGCGAACCTTTTTTGGATAACCAATTGATGTATAGGCTGTCATATTTTAAGAGCAATGTTTTGATCTTAGGATAGTCTTCTACTTGCAATTGTGTATCCCAACTGGATGTTAGGTACCCTTCGATGCAGAATTCCTTACTAGTAATTAACAAAGTCTAAAGTAAACACTTCCGAAATAGGCTTGCTTCGTCTTCGTTATACATTTTTTCTGCTGACAGATTTTAATCCTGAATATATTCGCGTAAGTGCTCTACAATAAGAGTGGCTAGTTTTTAATCGTCTAGCCAACCAAAAGCAATTGGTTACCCAGGCTCTCTTATTAAATTTATATACTACTGGTAGGTTGAAAGCTTTTTTAATACTCTCGTGTGGTTGCCGATTTGCTTTTGCATATCCCAGCTGCATTACGAATCAGTTCATGAAATTGCAGTTTCCTTGAATCTATCTAGCCGAAGCCATTCGTATATTGCGAATTCAATCTTTTGATTTTCAGATCTTCTTAGCGCATGTATATTTTCAAGTCATCGACAGATTAACCTCCAGAGGCAAATGACAAAATTGGTTCCGTCTTTTTTTATGATAACGCAGAACATTTGTTTGTCATCAACACCATATCATTCTGATAACACCCTAATTGAAATATTTTATTAGTGTAATTAATCGGTTCTAGTATTTCCCTGAATTGAAAGAACTGTAGGTGCTTTTATGTTCTATTTTGTTGTTCGAACTACTTTTGAACAAACACCCTTGCTGGTCGACTTTTAATCACAGACTGAATTTAATTTAATACTCAAAAGAAAAAGGGGAATCCCAGCATTGCAAGAAAGACTTGTGTTTTTAGAACAATGTTTTATCGCGTGCGCAGTATTAGAATTTGGCCAAAATTTCCATTCCACAGGGACTTCTCTTTAAGAATTCAGATCTTGTCGCTAGACAAATGCCGGTCGCTCTACAAAAACAATGAGAAAGATTAAAGGGGTACTTACGGAAATTGAAATAGGCTGATGTTTGGGAAAGTATTTATAGTTGTAAATAGGTTCCATGATTTCTAGTGGAAAAAAAATTCAAAATGATTTGTGGTAGTGTCCTAAACTTGTAATCCATGCATACAACGCATTAAATTATAACCAAGTCTTTATGAACAAGTAAAAAAGCAGTAAGTTCGGCCGGGCCAAACTTGGAATGCCCTCCACCTTTTGGAACGAATTAGAACATTTCAAAAAATTAAATCCATTAAAAATTCTGTTAAAATCTTAAAAATACCGAATATTGGAAGGTGTCAATGTATAGGGGATATACGATATTATGGACCTATATAGACAAATCTATTTCTAGGAATAAAGTACTCACAAAGAACTCCTTGTGTAGAATTTCAGACAATTCCATTGCAAAATGCGGCTAAAACATCAAAATTCCGAATATCGGTGGGTATCGTTTTATGGGGGCTTTACGATATATAGACAATTCTTTTCAGGGGGTAAAGCACTCACAAGGAACTCCTTGTGTAGAATTGCAGATAATCCCATTGAAAATGTGGCTAAAATAATCAAACTACCGAATATAGGAGGTACCGTTGTATAGGGGTTATTCAATATCGTGGACCTATATAGATAATTCTCTTACATGGGATAAAGTACTCGCAAAGAACTATTTGTGTAGAATTTCAGACAATTCCATCGAAAAATGTGGCTAAAATCGTCAAAATACCGAATATCGGGAACATCGTGAACCGAACATTCGAACTTGACCTGCCTGCAGACAAAAGACAGGCCTGTGCAAAGCTTCCTATCTTAATTCGTTTTAAATCTAGCGTGATTACAACAGACGGACGGACAGGCCTAAATGGTCTTAGAATTTTACGCTGATCAAGAATATAATACTTTGTTGGGTCTAAAATTAGTATTCAGATGAGTTACAAACGGAATGACGAACTTAATATACCCTCCATACTATGTATGGTGGAGGGTATAAAGATCTGGGATAATTTATGTAGAAAATTTACTTTAACCAGTAACCTTAATGCCTGTGTAGTTATATATGAATCCAGTCTCGCCAGAGTCGGAGCTTTTCAGTCTAATATCCTCTGCAAATTGTCATTTCAAAATTAACACATCACTGCTATTTTACATTTCTTGTGCCATTCTAAATTTACTGTTCCTTGATCTGATGTACAACATATTCTTCGCTCTGGGTGTAATACATTAAATATAGATATTGTGTCGCTCTTAAATCCTCCACATCTTCCTCTTTCTTCAATGGTTTCTTGGTTTTTAAGTTTTTAATTACTCTTTATTATTAAACACATATTGGATTATTATATTACAATGGATGAAGAATTAGAATGAAATACAAATAATATGATTTATGTATGAATAAAAATATGTTGGAAGTTTGCTCTTATGATCCACACGACATGCAGGCTTCCTTGTTTTCCAATGAGCAGACCATTTCAGCCATTCTCTTTTCTCGCTCGGCTGCCTCAACCTCTTCTTTGGTCGGTGATGCAACTCCATTTTGTTTTTCACCATTTGTTGTGGCAACTGTGGCTGCGACACGGCTACGATCCACCGTAAACTGAATGGCATTGGCCGCAGGCTTTGTTCGTAAATAATACATGCCCGTCTTGAGGCCAGCCTTCCAGGAATAGAAATGTATGGAAGTCAATTTTCCGTAATTGGGTTCGGCTACGTGTATATTAAACGATTGACTCTGATCGATGAAGGCCCCACGATCGGCGGCCATTTTGATGGTTGTCTTGACGGAAATTTCCCAAACGGTTTTGTAAAGCTCTCGGATCTCTTTGGGAATCTGTTCAATATTTTGTATAGAGCCACGGCTAGAAATGATCTTATTCTTCATATCTTCATCCCACAAATCAAGTTCGGTCAAATCCTTGAGCAAATGGTGATTGACAATATTAAATTCACCTGAGAGTACACGACGTGTGTAAATATTCGATGTGTAGGGCTCAAATGATTCATTATTACCCATAATCTGGGCTGTAGAAGCAGTAGGCATTGGTGCTAAGAGCAATGAGTTGCGCACACCATGCTTGGCAATTTTGGCCTTTAGGTCAGCCCAATCCCACAAGTCGGTGGGTACTTTATTCCACATATCATACTGAAGAATACCTTTGCTTACAGGGCTACCGGGATATGTTTCATAGGGACCATCTTTCTCAGCCAGTTCACAACTGGCCTCCAAGGCACCATAGTAAATTGTTTCGAAAATTTGCTGATTAAGCTTGTAGGCCTGTTCACTTTCATAGGGGTAACGCATCAGAATTAGGGTGTCAGCGAAACCTTGTACACCAATACCAATGGGACGATGTCTCATATTGGACTTTCTTGCTTCCGGCAATGGATAGTAGTTGATGTCAATGATTTTATTGAGATTGCGCGTAACAACCTTGGCCACATTCTTCAATTTCTTGAAATCATACGTCTTTTCTGGAGTCACAAACATATTGAGACAAATCGAGGCCAAATTACAAACTGCAATTTCATCAGGTGCCGAGTACTCAACAATTTCTGTACACAAATTGCTGCATTTGATCGTGCCAATATTTTGTTGATTACTCTTGCGATTGCAAGCGTCTTTGAACAGCATATAAGGGGTTCCTGTTTCCACTTGGGCTTCGATGATGGCAAACCATAGCGCCTGCGCTTTTACGGTCCTATTGGCTTTGCCTTCCTTTTCGTATTTTTCGTAAAGTTTTTCAAATTCGTCTCCCCACACATCTTGTAGCCCCGGACATTTGTGTGGACACATTAGCGACCAGTCGCCATTCTCTTCGACACGCTTCATAAACAGATCGGGAATCCAAAGGGCGTAGAAAAGATCTCTGGCACGATGCTCTTCCTTGCCTGTGTTTTTCTTTAAATCCAAAAACTCAAAAATATCCGAATGCCATGGTTCCAAATAGATGGCAAATGCGCCAGGACGTTTGCCGCCACCTTGATCGACATATCGTGCAACATTGTTGAATACCCTTAACATGGGCACTAAACCATTGGATGTGCCATTAGTGCCGGCAATAGAAGTTCCCTTGGCGCGTATACAATGGACATTGATGCCAATTCCTCCGGCCGATTTCGATATCATGGCGCACTGTTCAACAGACTTGAAAATACCTTCAATCGAATCAGCCACCATGGTCAGGAGGAAACAAGACGACAGCTGGGGGAGATTGGTGGCAGCAGCAAATAGAGTTGGAGAAGCATGAGTAAAGTAACGTTCCGAAAGCAAGTTGTAAGTCTCGATGGCAGCATCAATGTCTTCACCATGTATGCCCACAGCCACACGCATGAGCATGTGTTGAGGCCTCTCCGCAATCTTTCCATTCATTTTCAACAAATACGACCTTTCCAATGTTTTAAATCCAAAATAATTGTAACCGAAATCACGATCATAAACAATGGCCGAATTGAGGCGCTCCGAATTCTTCATTACCACATTATAATGAAACTCCGATATCATGGGTGCCGGTCTGTCCGTTTCGTCGCTAATATAATGATGCAAATCACTGATCACCTCGGAGAACACCTTCTTCGTTTCCTTATGAAGATTCGATACAGCAATACGGGCTGCCAGCAAAGCATAATCAGCATGATTAGTTGTTAGAGTAGCAGCCGTTTCCGCTGCCAAATTATCCAATTGTTGTGTGGTCACACCACAATACAAGCCATTAATGACCCTTAAGGTTATGGCAACAGGATCGACAAAATCCATATTCAAGCCATAGCAAAGCTTTTGGATGCGAGATGTGATCTTGTCGAAATGTACCTCTTCCTTGCGACCATCTCGCTTAACCACAAATAGCTTCTTCGATTTCATAGTGTTAACCATATTGGTGGACAGCCTACTGAAGATTGAACTGCAATTTCACAATATTCTGGAAAGAGCAACAAAAAATTACTCTTTAAAAAATGATAAGAGTGCGGCGTCGCTGTATCAGTTTCGCACAATACAATGCACAATTAATATACAAAAGCCGCCTAAATGGACAAAGAAGAGTAGTAAAATTGCGCCAAAATAAACTTTAAGTTTACGCGTTGCCACATGGCTGAATGTTTGATTGTGTACTAAACGAACTGGTTTCTCGGTGCTTAGGTCTGCTCGTATACTTTTTTAGCAAAAATAGAAATAATGGCCGGAAACTTCATTGAAAAGTTTTGCTTTCCATATATAGATGAATATATGGAAAAGAAATACGAAAAAACAGCAAAAACAAAATTAATGCTATATAATTTATGTGTTGGGTAAATTGCTACAATGACTAGTAAAAATAGTACAATTTATAAGGTATTTCTGGCTATATTCTTAGTAAGATTTACTCATTAACTTTTAGAAGGAGAGTAGCTTTCTTCTATTGAAAAAATGAGGAGAAAGTAAAAGAAGAAGTAAAAAAGATGATTTCCAATAATAATTAGCAAAAATTAGTTATTTTGGTAAATGCTGCTATTTTATTAATATTAATATTGCTTAGGTAGAAATTTAATAATTGGTTTTTTTTTCTTTGATCAAATATTAACTACCAATCTTTCATCGCAAAGAAAAATTCAAAAAATTGAAAAACATAAATATTTCAATTTCGATTTTAAATTCGAAAAACCAGAGCTTGCGAGAATTTGCTGGTTCAAAAGTCTCCTTTACTCGAAGTCGTCCGTTAACCCAAAAGTTCTGTAAAAAGGGGCGAATTCTGTTTAATGGAAAACAAAGCTGTTAAATCGAAAATTCCATGGTACATTAAGGAGCTAAAACAGCATCGTAGAACTACAGATTTTTTTTTAATTTTAAAGCTAGGTAAAATGCGCGAAAAATTAATGAAATGTTTGAATTTTAATGCAAAAATATGATCTAAACGGTTCAATCTTTCAATTCTTTGGCAATACAGGATAATAGCTTTGATGCGCGCCCCGCAATGTACGTTTGTTTTTTCCAATCATTTATTTTATATATTTTTTATTTTTCAAAACAATACTACATACATACACAAAATTTGAAAACAAAAAAAAAAAAAAAAAAAATAATCAGCTGTAAATCTACTTCACCTTTTTATTGTACCATGTTCTTCCTTTTTTTGACTTATTTCCTTTTTTATAAAATTCAATATTTTGACGTTCTTTTTTGTCAGTTTTTGCAGTGATTCGTCTGTTTATTTTTCACAGTTTCAATTTTTTTTTTTGCAAAAAGGAATAAAAATATCTCACTCTCTCAAAAAGAAGTTACTGGATACAAGTCCTGTAGGGAAAGTAACCAGACCATTCTGAAAATCTTCCAGAAAATCCAACAATTCTGTGTCAAAAGTTCTCTATAAAGATAATATTCAATAACTGGAGGAAGTACCAGATACTAAATATAAATACCGAAAACAATTCCGTTAAAAAATGTGACTTAAATCGTCAAAAATTGCGGATAGTAGGATACTGCTGTACGGGGATTTATTTAGACACTTATCTGCTACAATAGTAGTTGACTATTGCAAACATTAAACAACAAATTTGAAGCACTTCCGTTGAAAAATGTGGTTTAAATTAGCAAATACTACAAATACTACCTTAATGTACCGTTATATGGGGACTACTGGAAAACATTGCCCTATATGTATAGAAAATATTTCGCGACAGGAGAGGTAAAAGCCAATACAATCATTAAATCGGCAACAGATCTGTGGGGAGGTACTATTATATCTGGGCTATCCGAAAAACGTGAACTGAAATTGGCCTTCTTACTGACAAAATACACACATGTTAAAAATTTTGTTCCAAAATCATCGTTATTACATCAGCATTTTACCTTACTAATTTGTAGGGTCTAATGCCATGTTTTCTTTAGAACTTTTTGCAGGTATATGACAATATTAATCCAAATCCAGTGGGTTAACCCATTTATATGTAAACGTACTGTAACGTGATTTTTAGATAATATGGTGGTGGTTCACGCTGAATTCTGGATCCCGATACGGAACTAGTAAAAAAATATCTAAACCAAATGAAATTCATATATATATATATATATATATATATATATATATATATATATACATATATATATATATATATATATATATATATATATATATATATATATATATATATATATATATATATATATATATTCGAGAGAGCTTCCTTGTCTAAATTTTTTGTACACACACAGAGCAAACGAACATACCTAATATTGGCATTTTAGCAATCAGCTGACTTTTTGCCTTTGCGCGCTAAGCCCGGCAGCCGGCATTTTGTACTAAATGGACGATCTTTGGGTATCGCAAAGAATACATTGCCAGTATGTAGCAAAGCTTTCTTTGCTTTGCACAATTTGAAAGTGATGGGCTTGGGTACATACTTTCCGACATGACTCACACAAATATGTATGTGTGTACGCAAATATACCGGCATACAGTTTTTTTAATAATCAGTAAACAACAGCTAAGTACATTCCACATGGTAATTTAGTTGAAAGCCACAAACAACATTACCAAAAGGAAATGTTTTACGAGAATAATGGGGTCAACAAAGTCCAGATGTCATAGATTAGACTATTAACAGATGGGGACATTGAATCATCTTTTTTTCTTCAATTCGAAACAAAACATTAGTTTTGCCATTTCGTTTGCATGAAATATTTGTCCAAAGTTCTGTATTTAGAGATGGGAAATGCCCGGAATTTATCAAACATTTGTATATATGTGTGTATTTTTTGAATAACAAAGAAAACAATAGAGACAGATTCTTTTGTTAAATCAGCGAATATGGCAACCCTTTTCCAATGAACTTGACCTTGTCATTTTTCAAATAAAAATAAGTTACATCTAAGATATTTACGTATGACTAATGGCATATTTTACAAAAATTATAAATAAACTATTATTTTCGGTGTTCCTTGGTACCATTCTTGATACGGAGAGGAGGAATTTTATTTATCTTTTTTTGGTCTAAAAATGAACTCTTCATCTAAAGGAATTTTTTTCGGTGATGCAATTTATTGTGTGCTCCTCAAATGACATTTTATTTTAAGACAGCCTTTAAGGATCAAAACCCAAACATAACCAACTGAAAAATGTAACCAAAATCTATATAAAATACCTGCTATATGGATTCTGTACTAAAAGGAAAACTTGCGACGACAATTTTCTTGAATTTAATTGCCAATTTGAAAGAAAATGTGAGATGACAATCTTCTAACAGCAATGTAGCCAAACAAGGCGCAATATTGTCTATCTTCATACTTGTCCTAGCTGCAGCAAAATGAAACATTGATGCACAATTCAACCATTCCGTAATCAAGTCACCCATTACTTATGGGTCTAACATGTTAGTTTTCTGGTTAGGATTATTTTCTTCTTGATAGAGGGTATAAAAGTTGCGAAAATGGCAAAATATTGTCAGATTATAAATCGGGAAGCAGCTTTCGTAGACTGCTGTATAGTATATGAGGGCGAGTAGGTCATAAATACGGCTGACTCTAACACCATTACTGACCATTCGCAAATTTGAGTAGTAAAATTAATCAACTATCAACAAAATTCAAGCCATAGAAAGAGGAACAATTAACCTATATTTAAAAATGTTCTCTAAATTGTTACAATACATAAAATGTCAAGAGGAAAGTTGAGGACCATATCAACAGAGAACTAATGATTTCCCTCCCTCAATAAATGTTATCATAATAAAATGTATGAACGTTTTCTTTTTCAGTTATGCAACGTAATAACCCAACCATTTCTCTTACATCTTCGTTACAGGACTACAATATTGATAGCTATATAGACGTTGATAATACCGTCGTACAACCCAGCCCACAACGTGTGCGCAACATATTGACGCTCGAGGAAAAAGTAGCAGCAATTAAAGCGTATAACCAGCGACCAATGTACACTCGGGTTGCTCGCATGTTCAATTGCAGCTGGGAGCAGATTAAGAACATTATAACAAATCGTGATGCCATTATGGAATTCTATGAGGCAACAACAAAACAGGAAGAAATGCCAATGGACTTGAAGCAGAGGAAAGCGCAATTTTTAAACGAATGCGTTTACGAGTTGATACAAAGGATTCAATATCACATGAAGTTGCCCGTAACCGAGGAATTGATACGTCTAAAAGCATTGGAGTTCCAAGATTATATAAAACTCGAGGACTTTACACCCCACAAGAAATGGCTAAATGGTTTCAAATGCACATACAACATTTCGTTGGCGAATAAACATATCGTTTTGAATCGTATACCACCCGCCTCAATGGACCTCAAAGATGTCATGGCTTATTGCACAAAAAATTCCTGTTCCCATGTACCATTGTACATAAAAGATCTGAAGCAAAAGTATAGCAGTTTGGATGAAAAAACACCAGAATATGAACATCGTCGTGTTAGAAAGTTACACTTCCTGCAGAAAGCCCTAAACGAATATTTACACAGGGCCAAGTTTCATTACAAGTCAATGAAATTAGACGACAAGGCGTTACAAAAGGTGGCACAAGAATTCAATGACATCCTAAAGGTACATGACTTCCATCCCACCCTATCGTGGATAAGAAAATTCAGACATCGACACGATAACTCCCAAGAGAAGGGTCCAATAAACGGTAAAATACCTTTGCTGTCGTTAGATTTAAAAGACATCATCAGCTATTGCAGTCGTATGAACAATAACAGTAAGACATGTTCCATTACACTGACACCAAAGGAACCACCCAATGCCATGGCTATGCAAATGCGTTTATTACCAAAGTATGCCGGAAACACGGCCGATTCAAAAATTAAGTTACAAAGGGGTTCGATTATCTATTTGGACGAGGAAGAGGAAGAAAAGGACGTTAAACCGCCGATCAATGAAATCAGGATGGAGCAAGTCAAAGAGCCCGATCCATCGCCGCCCTTGAAAATACGAAAAATAGAATCAATAAACAATGATCCGGTTCTACAACAAGAATTGCAGCAAGAGAAAAGGGCAGAAACACAATGTAATACGATCATAAAATTGGAAAGGCAAGAAACAGGAGACGAAGAAGAAGAGGGTGGCGGCACAAGCAATATTCCCAAAGCTTCATCATCAGTTACCACCCACAGAACGGTAATAACTTCAACGGAAAGTGTTTTACAGCAGCACACAAACAACTCTGCAATTCAATTATTATCGCCTGCTTCAAAGTCACAACCACCCACCCACGTCGAAGAGGACTCGGAATTGCCACGTCAAATAAATAATTTTAAAGATGTGTTGCGCTTGCTTAGACCACTGGAGGAATATGCAATGCTCAAAGAGAATTATCGTGCAATTGGACTTATAACCCAATTGGAGGAAGTTTTGAAAAATTCCGATGACAATCCCACGGAAGAAGATTTCAATACGTAATATTAAAGGAAGAGTGGGGAGAAGGAAAATATAAGAAGCACCACCAAATTAGAAACACAATGTGTTACTGAATAACCATATTTATATATATGGAGTTGGCATATGGCTATAACTTACCACAAGTAGAGTGTATGCCAATGTGCCCATGGATAGGACAAATAATTAAGTAACATAGTTCATAAGTTCAGCTAAAATTGTAAAAAATGTTTGGGTGTTACTGGAGAAGGTCTGAGTGTATTGAATTTTTCTAGAGCGGACTTCCAGTAACAGCAAGCTCAAGGCATATATATTGTGCTGGACTTAATACCTCTAACCATAATTGTTTTGTAAAATACATTTATATCCAAATATAAGTCTAGTAAGTAGTTACAGTAAAAGGATATAAAGTTCCTTTTTATAGCTGCGTAAGAAAATTAATAAAGAAAATGTATTTGAAATATGAAAGCATAAGTTGTTTTAAAATCATATTCATATAAGAAACGAATACCGCTATCGGCGTTGTGATAAAAGGAAAAAAATCCAAATCGTTTCCAGTGGTAGGTATTTTTACCCTGATTCTAAACGGAAGGGAGGGTTCAAATGGCTACTTTGGAAAACTTTTGGATTGAGTTCATAGATTTGTATAAATCACTTCCTGAAGAAAGACGCCGAAGAATATTGGCAATCTGCACATTCGGAAAAAGGCATACGAGGTGATGGTGGACAAATACAATAAAATTGATAAAGAAGCCAATATTTATATGGTTAAGAAGAAAATCAATAATATGAGAACAGCAAATCGGCGGAAGCTGAACAAGATGCGCAAAAGTGAACAAACAGCAAATGAGCACCAAATAACGTTTACGCACCAACGCTTTGGTATTATACGAACTTGGAATTCCTAGTACACATATCGTTATTTGAAATTCAAAGAGGATCAAATTGTTGCCAAAAGTAATCTTCTTGGCCAACATTATGTAGGCTACGTGTCGGCCAAGATTACTTTTCACAATTGGAATAGGTATATTACATTCCGAACCTAAGCTCAATATGTTTCATAATTAAATAAGTTGTCCACATATGACAAATTTTCTAACCTTTTCAGGTTTTATTAACAAACATGTTAAAGATTGCAAAACTTGTTGAATATTGAAGGTTGGGAAATTAAACATCATTATTTTGCAACTAGGTATTAGTCTTAAATTCAAGCTTAAAACATTTATATTTCCTAAAAGGTCAATAAATATCTACATATATATTATTATTTTTATTTTACAGTACACGACAATAAATCAAACCCAAAAATAAGAGGAAGGAAATAACCAGAGAACATTGCCATCTGCCCACTTCTTCTGACTCGACTCAGTTTACAGCGGAAACATGCTCGTATATTATTGAATTTTCTTTTAATGGCAAAATCATTAGCATTCACATCAATTTTTTTTATACTTTTCCACCAATACTCCATATGCCTTCTTCTTCAAGTGTCCATTCGAATATTCATTGGAATGAATGAATTCTATCCAAAACTTTTTCAAATCTGGCGCCACAACACGCGTATGTTTTTGCTTCCTTTGTAAATTCAATGGATTTCTTTGATAAAAATTACCAGTGCATGAATTGCTGGACGACCAACATACATGTTTTTGTGAAACACTATATTAAGGGGAGTTCACACTTTGAGATGTTATTGCACAACATTTGTGTCAATGCGTTACGTATTGTTGCGTAACGTATCGTATTTGTTAAATGGTGACGAGAGTGAAAAAGGCAACAGAGTTCCAAAAGAACACTATAAACAATTCTTGGAAGCAGAGAAATGAAAAACAAGAAAGAAAAAGATAATTATCGATAACCACTAATCGAATACAAAGCAATGGTACATGCATACTTAAGGTATCGTACCAACCTCGTCTTGACGGCGTAACCAATTACCGATTCCAAAAAAAAAAAAAAAAAAAAAAACAATTCTTGTATTTCACAACTCGTTTGCACAGGACGAATTATCATGAATTAAAGCATGCTTCAGCGTTGAAATATCCATAAAGGTGAGTATACATAGAAGGCTGTTTTTTACTAACTCAACTCATCGGTTAGCTACATCGTGAAAGAACAAGTATAAATTGAATGAATAAGTATAAATTACCGGCAGAAATTGAACTAAATCAACCTAAAGGTGGGTGGGTTAAGATGAGAATACAAAGAACACTGTTTTTACTGACTTATGCCATGTTTACGTTAGAACTTTTTGTAGGGTTAACCTACTTTGAGAGGATTTATTTGAAGTAAAAGTAATGGATATGACAATTTAAATCCAAATCCAAATCCATATATATAAACGTACTGTTAAATCATAAAACATAGGCTGTAGTGCGATATACTTGCGTACACACATACATATTTTTCTGAGTCATATCGAATAGTTTGTAAACAAACGCATCACTTTCAAGCATGGCAGAAGAATACATGTAAATGCATCAAAGCTTGGGAGCATTGATATGTAAAAAAAAAATTAAATGTTCTTTAAAATGTGATTAGATTTAAATATGTTTTCTTATACGACGTCATTCGGAGGTTATTGTAATTCGTGTTTTCCAGCAATTTTTATACATTTATATAATTTTCATTCAACATTTTCATTCCAAAATTGGTTTGACAGTTTATTGTCCCAGCAGCTGTGTCGATGCGTCTACCTATATTCTTCTACCATGCTTTCAAGGAAGAATACAGGAAGCCGCATCGACACAGCTACTGCGACAAGTAGCTGTCAAACTAATTTTGGAATTGAAAATTTTGAATGAATAATTATTTAAATTTGTAAAAATTATTGAAAAATGCATTTCATAACAACATCCGATTGCCGTCGTATAGGAAAACATATACAAATCTACTTATTTCTGAAGAAATAGTCAAAAATTTTTGACATATCAATGTTCCCAAGTATTGATGCATCTACCTATATAACATAAAAATAGCTTAGCACAAAAATGTTTCAGCCAAGATAAGAAATATTTATATTTGAAATCAGAATTTCATATCGTTTGATTTTATTGGTAAATTTTAATTAAATTTACTTTAAAAAATTGTTCTAAATCCTACATTCAATAGGAAGTGAATTTGTTTGCTTTAGATATTTTTTACTACTCCCATATCGAGATGGGATTTACTACTCCCATATTCCGTTTCTATCCTCAAAATAGAAGTGTTCTTATGCAACACTGTTGCTTTTTTCACTCTCATCACTATTTAACAAAGACGATACGTTACACAGCCATACGTAACGCATTGACACAAATGTTGTGCAATCACATCTCAAAGTGTGAACTACCTTTATATAGTGTTTCACATAAACACACATTTTGGTCGTCCAGCAATTCATGCACTGGTAATTTTTATCAAAGAAATCCCTCGAATTTTAAAAGGAAGCAAAAACATACTCGTGTCATGCCGCCAGATTTGAAAAAGTTTTGGATAGAATTTATTGAGTTGTATAAGTCATTACCTGAGTTATGGCGACGAAGTTCCGATGAATATTCGAATGGACACTTGAAGAAGAAGGCATACGAAGTATTGGTGGAAAAGTATAAAGAAATCGATGCGAATGCTAATGTTTTTGCCGTTAAAAGAAAAATCAATAATATACGAACATGTTTCCGCCGTGAACTAAGTCGAGTCAAAAGAAGTGAGCAGATGGCAATGTCTCCTAGTGACATTTACATCCCAAGACTTTGGTATTACAAAAACTTGGACTTTTTAAAGGAAGAGGAAGAAGAGGTACGCGTAATGACGAAACCTGAGACATCACTGGCGAACGACAAAACAATCATTGCATATGATGATGACGACGACGATGATGAAGAAGTAAGTTCATGGTAGAAGAATATAGGTATACGCATCGACACAGCTGCTGGGACAAAGAACTGTCAAACCAATTTTAAAATTGAAAATGTTGAATGAAAAATTATTTAAATTTCTAAAAATTTTTAAAAATCTCGAATTATAATAACCTCCGAATGACGTCGTATAAAAAAACATTTAAAAATCTACTCATATTTCAAAAAACATTTAAATTTTTTTTGACATATCAATGCTCCCAAGCGTTGATGCATCTACCTGTATTCTTCTGCCATGAGTAAGTTGTAAGATATTTTAGTAACATTGGATGGATGTGTGATTACGTTTAAATTGAATTTTAGATTTCCCGGTATGTTCAACAACAACCATCATCAGGGCAACCCAAAAAAAGATCGGTCATACCAGAAGAACGTGATAGACAGAATGACCAAACTGAAAATTACGTAACTGATAAATCTAAGGCACTTAGCTTGTCATGGGAAGTGTTATATCGTGATTTAAATCCCCAACAACGTCTGTATGCCAATCGAATGATCAATGAAATATTATACCAAGCTGCGCTGGGCAAGCTCCAAGAGAGTTCGTACAAATTATTAGAAATGGCTGTGGAAAACACAAATGATGTTAACAATGACCAAGACTCAGTGATACAATATTATTTGGACGATACATCGGCAGAGGAGGAGCAGGAGGCCGTCCAAAATGGACAAGAACGAAAAAGAGCCAAGAGATTCAATTGACTATAAGCTGTGTAAATAAAAAGAGAAAAAATGAATGTTCTACTTTGGAAAATACCAGAAAAAAATGTTGAATATAAATACCTGGCTCCATTGTTATGGAGCGGCAAAACGTTGTTCGATTAATATATCAATTTTCTATTACCTTGAAAAATGAGAATAGGATCTTTAAAATATGTATCTACAATCCGTCGGTATCACAAATTGGGATATGTTAAACGTTGCAAATACGGTCAGGGCCCAAAAAATATCTAATAGGGTCTTCTACCCACTTGGAATCAGCAATGATGTTATGTTGATTTATAGCCAATACTGTTTTAAAATATGTAGAAAAATGTCGGAGTTACTGAAATTAACCCAAAAAATCTAAAAGTAATGCCGTCGCAACAAATGATTTAACCGATGGCTTAGGTGGGGGTTTTCAAACTCGTTTACATATAGATTTTTAATTTTTGGTATGTGTTTTTACTTAATAGGGCCTCGAAACCGAGCTCCGAGTTACAATAGAATCAGTAAACTGACCTTCACACGACATGTTTATCTTAAGTATTGGCAAATACTTTGTGGTGTTACAAATAGAATGACAAAATAAAATTATGCAACTGGGTCCTCATGATGAAAGGTTTAAAAGCCTCGCTATTTTCTAAGCATAACATTTCATAAACAATTGGAGATTTTTTTTTAATTGTAAAGTAAAAATTCAGAAAACTCCATATGGAATTTATTTTTTGTTAATCTAAAATTCTTTGTTTCAATTTTAAACAGATTATAAACTTAAATTTAATTATACACGACGAACACCTTTAGGATATATTATATGACCTTCAAAACAGGTGCAATCCCACCACGTTTTCTATTTGATCAAATTAAATTGTTTCGAGTTCTTCTGTCGTTTGCGTTCGGAGTCTTTTTTGATTATTAGCTCGTCGTGTTCCGTTGATTCGGTCAAATAATATTGATTTTCGGATTCTCTGTCTGGACTGAAGGTTATATGTCCGTTGGGTTCTTCGACAGCCATTTCCAATATCTTATATGAATTTTCACGAAGCTTTCCCAGTGCGGCTTGATACAGTACTTCATTTATCATTCGATTAGCGTAAAGCTTTTGCCTTGAATCTAAATCACGATATAGTACCTCCCAGGATGAAGATAAAGCTCGAACAGGATCAACTTTAGCTTGTGATTGTTTCTGCAGCTGTTGTTGTGGCTGATTATATTCCTTATGATCTTGTGTATGTTGTCGTTTTTGGTCAGGCTGTATGGTTATTTCCAATTTTCTTTTCTTTTGTTGGGGTGTAGACTGAATTTGGGTTTGATTTATTGTCGTGTACTGTAAAATAAAAACAATAATGTTTAAGAAAATATTTATAGACCCTTTAGAAAATTTAAATATGTTAAGCTTGAATTTAAATTATAATACCTGCTGTTTCTTTAACATGTTTGTTATTAAAATTTGAAAAGGCTACAAATTTTGTCATACGGGAACAACCTATTTAATAATGCAACATATTGAGCCTAGTTTCGGAATGTAATATACCTATTTATTGTCAAGAGTAATATTCTCGGTCGAAACATAGCCCACAAAAGGGTCGGCAAGGAAGATTACTTTTGGCAGCAATTTGACAATAAACTTCGTAGTTTTTGTATTCTTGTGATTTGACCCTCTTTGAATTGCAAATAACTATATGTCTTTTGACGGCAAACTTAGTCGTCAGATGGGCTTGCAGCCCGATCTTATGTAGGACATGATTCCGAATTTTGAAAAACTACCACGTCCCTGTTCTAATTTCATTGCCCTTCTCTGCCTTCATCGACCAATCACTTTAAGATCACATTCACTTACTTCATCGTCCATTGAATTAATATCATCCATAATTTCCATTTTTGTTGCTGTCAAATCCATTTCCTCCTCATCATCCATTTCATCTATTAAGAATTCCAAGTTCGAATAATACCAAAGCGTTGGTACGTAAACGTCATTTGGTGTCAATGCTGTTTGTTCACTTTTGCGCATCTTGTTCAACTCCCGCCGAAATGCTGTTCTCATATTATTGATTTTCTTCTTAACCGTATAAATATTGGCTTCTTTATCAATTTCATTGTATTTGTCCACCATCACCTCGTACGCCTTTTTCCGAATGTGCCGATTGCCATATTCTTCCGCGTCTTTCTTCCACAGCTCGGGAAGTGATTTATACAAATCTATGAACTCAATCCAAAAGTTTTTCAAAGTAGCCATTCGAACCTTTTCCGTTTAAGTCCTTCTAATTACGTTTGTGGTGGCTCAATGGTATCTTTTCCTTTCAATGGAGTAGTGGCTTCTTCGCCTTTTCACAATCAACATGCACTCACGAAACCAAACATATTTAAAAACGTTCCAAATGACACAAACAAACATGACAAAGTAGTATGACCGAGAAAAATAAGTACAAAACAAAATCGCCGAAGAGTAGTTTGTTTCGACCTTGTTTACGAAAGAGGGTGATGTGTAATAGTCAACAATTTATCTTTTGTTTACGAATGAGATATAGGAAGGAGCAAAATTGTTTATTGGTAATCGATTACAGCGAAATAAACCTTCCTTATGTGGCGTTTCCACTGCACTTGATTCGGTCTCTATTCGTTGTTTGACCCTTAACTATGAAAAACTGCGTAATTCTTCACACAAAATTTCCTGAGCGAACATTCATATTTGTACATTGTTCAAATCAAATCACTCTCAGAATAACGAAAAAATATACCCTAAAAAATGAGAGCATTTATCGAAAAAATAAATTATGACATTTAAAAATTAAAACTAGAAAAATGTAATGAAATTTTAAAAATTTTTGGAAAGACTGAAAATTATAAATGAAAACTACAATGTTGAATGGCCTATGTACATTCAAACGAAAGTACATTTTGTTTTCTCTCCCATTCGAGGTACGCATATTGTTCACGAGTTGAAATTTCCACAAAAAACTGCAAACAAAAGAAGCAATATTTTCAGAATGTTTGTATCGGCAGAAATAATTTTTGACAAGTGTCTCTCCAGCAGAATTTAAAAATAAGAAAATACAAAAATATGTTCAAAATGTCAACATTTACACAAAAAGTTGAAAACGTGAATAAAAATTGTAAAATTATTGATATAATTATTCCTTGGAAGAAAAACAATAATTTCTTCTATTCATATTAGTGAAAATTTCATGTATTGTTGTATAAACTCCCATTAAAATCTACAAAAAAAAATTTTGAAAAAAAGAATTATTTTACTATGATTAACGAATCGTGCCGTATGAACGGGTTAATTCGTGTACGTAATTCTGAGAGCGAACAACGTGATTGAAAGTGTAATGGGAACATAGCATTATATGACTTTCAGACAGTGCATGATTTCCTTTCTTAATTTTTCCTCTCTAATTAATTATACTTTTAATAACATATAACTTTTGCTCTGTTCCAGAGCTTACAAGAATCTACTAGCTTTGCTTTTTTTTCGATATCATTAAGGAAAAATCGTTTATCAAAGTAAAAAGTTTCACATTCTTGCTGTTCTGGAATAGATCAACAATAGTAAAGTCAAAATCCAAAATAGTAGGACAATACAGTTTTACCCATGGTACAATGAATACAAGTTAGGCTAAAAAAAGTCAAAATTTCTTTTCAAAATCATCTTCTATATGTCTCTTATGGTTTATTTCGCGACAAAAACTGTAGAATTTGTCGATGAATACGTCGCAATAAGCATTTTGAAAACAGCCGAATTTTAATATTTTCTGAACAGTTTTTTATTATTGAAAAGAATACACACACATAAACAAATGAAGTAGACATATTAACACAGAAAAAAAAAAAATTAAAATCATATGGTAGTTCTGCCCTTCATTGAACCATGGTTTTACCCCAATATTGTAGAATGCGTCGCCCATGAACGTCGAAAATATTCATTTATTTTGCAACCAACTTGAAATAAATTTGAAATCACAAAATGTGTATATGTTTTGACAGAATAAGGGCACCAAAAGAAAAAAATATATTTAGGGGGAAGCTTAGTTCTACCTTCTGTAATATAAGAATTTTATTAAAACAAGTAAAAAAGTTCGGCCGGGCCGAACTTTGAATATCCTCCACCATTTGAAACGAATTTGGCAATTTTCAAAAACAATAAAATCCGTTAAATATTTAGATAAAATATTAAAAATACCGTATGTAGCTGTTATATTAGGGTCTATACGACGACATGGACCTGCATAAGTAACTCTTGGCATAAGCCATTACAATATTCAAATGCAAAACTTGAATAAAAAATCGGTGAATAATCTAGATCAAATCATCATTATTTCAAATGTAGGGACGTACTGTTATATTGGAGCTATACGAAAACATGAACCTGCACAGATAATTTTCTGTCATAGGCTGTAGCATTCATAACGAACATCAAATACCAAATTTGAAAGAATTCCGGTGAATAATCCGCTAAAATCAACAAAGTACTGAATATCGGAAGGTACCGTTATATGGGGGCTATACGAACCCGTGGACATGCACGGACAATTTTCCGCCTAAGGCTGCAGTATCAATTACGAACTTCAAATACCAAATTTGAAACAATTCCGATGAATAATGTCGCTAAAATCATCAAAATACCGAATATCGGGAGGTACCGTTATACAGATAATTTTTTGTCTTAGGCTGTAGCATTCATTACGAACTTCAAACATCAAATTTGAAACAATTCCGGTGAAGAATGCCGCTAAAATCATCAAAATATCGAATATCGGGAGGTATTGTTATATGGGGGCTTTACGAAGACGTGGACCTACATGGCCCATTTTCAATACCAAAAGTCCTGCAGACATAATATGCATTTGAGTAAAATTTTAACAATCCACTTCATTTTGTTCGAAAGCTAAAGTGCTTTCCACAGACGGACAGATGGATAGACGAGATGGATATTTCGAGAATGACAAACTTAATATACCCTCCATACTATGGTGGAGGGTATAACAACCAACTGTTGCATATTTAAAAGTCTATTTGACACTTTAAGGCCCTGACACAGAGTTGTATTTATCTAGTTTCTTTGAAGTTGAGTAACCTTCATTATTGAGCCATGAGTTGTCACATCGACACAGCTGAACTGTCAAACGATTTTGGAATTGAAAATGTTGAATGACAAATTATTGAAAATTTTTAAAAATGCATATTATAACAACCTCCGACATGCGTCGTATAAGAACGTTTTAAAAAAAATTGACATATCAATGTTCCAAAGCGTCATTGCTACCTGATCTGCTACCTTGGGCTAAGTATTTTTCCTTTTCAAAATTTGCTAAAATATTTTTTTTTTGTTCCGTGGCCACTCATTAGTTTAAGACTATATCCACTCACACCAGGTTACTTCCGTACCTTTGCAGTAAACGTCAGTTACCTTTGAAGGATTAGGCTTCATCGATGCTATTAATACCTTTTTGTTGCTCTTATATACATACATATGTATATTACATTTACTAACACATGTACACTGTGTTTTATATATTTAATGCTTGCTCTACTTGAGCTATGGGCTAACCCTTGTTCCGTTCCATAGATGTGATGCGATTCACAACGCCGTCCGCCAATAAATGTTTTTAAGGGTTGTTTCTACTGTCGCATTTTTGCTATCCCAAAAAACTTTTGTCCGAGAACTAAGGGGATTTGGCTTCAGGGTCCCTTTGTTCCCTTTGGAACATAATTATAATTCCACTCACACACATACAAACATACAATTATGGAAATTATACAACTTTAATATTTAGCAAAGAAAGATTAAGGTAAAGACCCTAGAATGGGGGTCAGAGCGACCAAATACACAGGGTGAGATGAAAAAACTGCAACCAACTTCAGACTGTTGCCATTTTTAAGCCACTCGTCCGACAGCTGTTAAAATTATTCCAGTGACAGCTCATTATGTTGTTTACAAGCGTGCAAAAGCATTTTGGTGAGAATTTCCCAGAAAAAAAGATGATGGAATTCAAGCGTGAAAGTGAGATTTCTTTATATTTTGACGGAAACCCACACGTGGCTATCGTTAGAGCACTCCAGAATTATATGTGAGTAAATTTTTTGTGTCTCGTACCACCATCGCTCGTTACCGTTACCGTGATACTGGTATCGTGCCCGACGTCAAGGAAGTGGACGGAAGAAAACAGCTACATCAGCAGAAATGGTTCGAAAAGTAAAAAAGCGACTGGATCTAAGCCCGCGTCGCAGTGGCCGAAAAATAGCTCGTGACCTGAACATATCGCAATATTCCATTCGACAAATATTAAAAAATGAGATCGGGGTAAAGCCATTGAAATTTGAAAAAGTTCAAAAACTTACACCGCAACAGAAAGAAAATAGACTCAAAAGAGCTAAAGAGTTGCTACGCCGAAAGTTGGTCGAAAGTGTAGAACTGCCAAATTCGGTTTTCTCCGTCTCCGATGAGAAAACTTTTGTTGTCCAGCGATTTGTAAATAAATAAAATGATCGTGTTCACTTGCCAAAGAGGTCAGCTGAAAATGTGCAACTTCGGTGGGCCACCAGAACTCAACGCCGGCCATGGTGACGATGTGGACCGCCATAACAGCCGATGGTCGTTCTCCGATCGTATTAAACGACCGTGGCATCAGAATAAATGCCGAATATTACCGCGAAAATTTTCTGGTGGGTGTATTAACGCCTTGGGCACCCAAACTTTTTGGCCGCAGACCTTGGATATTCCAACAGGACTTAGCACAATCGCATTTAGCACGCGGCACCCAAGAATGGTTACAAAATGAGGATTTTCGCTTTATTTCCAGCGCACAATGTCCACCAAAATCTCCGGATACCAATCCGTTTGACTATTGGGTCTGGAGTATTTTGGAAAACAAGGTTGGTACGAAAAATACCAAAGTGTCGATCACCTCAAGCAAGCGTTTCGCCGGGAATGGGCCAAAATACCGCAGAGCAACATTCGGGCAGCGTGTGAGGGTTTCATTGGCGGTTTGAAGGCCATAATTGGTTCCAAAGGTGACCAATTCGAACAAATCTGAACTTATTCTAAATGTTGATGCTATAAAATTTTTCAAAAAAAAAAAAAAATGTAAAAATTATGGCGTTTGACTTTGTCGCAGTTTTTTTATCTCACCCTGTTTTTCTTCCTTTTTTTCTAAATTTAAAAAAAATGTAAAAATTATGGCGTTTGACTTTGTTGCAGTTTTTTTATCTCATCCTGTATATCTTCAACTGATTTTGGGTTAATTTTGCACCAAATGGCCAATATGAGTCCAATTGACTTGAATTTTGGCACATCCGATCGAATTTGGAAGGAATGTTCTTCAAATTTGGAGAAAATCGGTTCAGATATAGCTATATATATGTTTCATCGGATT